TAAATGTCTAAATATCGATGGTTGAATCGAATGAATTAATGACGTTGGAAACACTGTGATTCGTGAGGGTTTTTATATGACTCGAGAATCCAACCAACCTAGATTATAAAAGTCGGGTACCGTTGGGTTGGGTTGTGAATCTTTGGAAAATCGAAAAATTTGGGTTGGTTTGCGGGTTGGTGTTCTTTTGGTCAGGTTGAACATAGGGTTACACCCCAACTGAACCCTATGTGTACTTTTAAGATTAGAATATTTGACGTTCGTAACTGATGTGAGTGATGTGCTGTAACTTTGTGATTGTTTTGATATTTGAGTTTTATGAGCTTTTAGTTATTAATCTAAGTTTATCGTATATAATTATGTTTTCTTTTAAAAATAATTAAAAAATAAATAAATAAAGAGATAACTCAACATAAAAAATAAAGAGTTGGGTTGTGTTGCTCCAAATTTTAGATAAATTTTAAAAATACAATAATTATTTAGTTATAAATATTTAAATTCTCTTACCCTATTAAAAAAAATTATTTAAAAGTTAGAAATTAAATTTTTTTAAAGAAAAAATATAAAAAATGGGAGGGGTACATGGTCTGGGTCCAAGTTGTATTTAAGTTTTATTTATCCACCATTTATAATTATTCGGATTATAAAATATATTAAAAGTTCACAAACAATGGATTTATAATTATTCACATAAAAAAAATTATAACGGAGTTTAACATAGTCATAAAACCAAAAGTGAGGGGTCTGTAATAAAGGAAATGAGAAATTAAAAATAAAAAAAAAATAATATAAAAGAAATAAAATAAAATAATAATAATAAAAAGTATATCATGGTGTGGGTGGTGGATGGAGATACAACTCTAACCGACCTATTAATTAGAAAGATTCTTAATATAATTTATGTATTTTTATTTGGCTTGCGTCAACTCGAAGGTTTTATGCACGAACCTGAAATCGAACCGATTCAATTCGGGTTTAGAAAAATGAACCCAACACTTAGAGTTCGGGTTGGGTTGGTGCGAATTGTCGGGTTGGGTTGGTACGAATAATTTTTTTTAATTGGGCCGTAGGTAAGATTAGGCCCACGATTATGGGGTTTTCTTAGGTTCATTTCCGACCAGGAAAAGAAGGCCCATTTAATAAAAGCCCACGAACATAGAATCTTCTATAAGACGTTCCCCATCTTCCTTTTCTTCTACGCTCGTTTTCCATTCAGAACAAGTTTCCCGGATATCTCTGAGCTTCCATTTCCCACAATTTCGCAATCCGATTTTTCTTCATGGATCCTCAGCAGCAGCTTCGAGATCACACCTTAGATCCTGACCCCCAACTTCCCTCCATCAAAATTCACCATCCGGCTTCCCCTCGCCACCCATCCGCCGCCACCCCCGCCGCAACCCCCACCCCCACCGCCGGCGCCCGCCGCAAGATAGGAGTTGCCGTTGACCTTTCCGAAGAGAGCGCTTATGCTGTCCGCTGGGCTGTTCAACACTACCTTCGTCCTGGTGATGCTGTTATTCTTCTCCATGTTAGCCCTACCTCCGTACTCTTCGGCGCCGATTGGGGGGCCATTGATATTTCTCTGAAGACTGCTGGTGATAATTCAGAGGATGAGGATGCGGGCGATGCTGAAAACAATCAAAATCAGAATCGCAGCGAGCGGTCGAAACGTAAAATGGAGGACGATTTTGATGCTTTCACTGCCTCGAAAGCTGCCGATCTAGCTAAACCTATAAAAGATGCTCAGATTCCGTACAAGATTCACATAGTGAAGGATCATGACATGAGAGAGAGGCTGTGTTTGGAAGTGGAGAGATTAGGGCTCAATGCCCTAATCATGGGCAGTCGGGGCTTTGGTGCAGCAAGGCGCGGTAAAGACGGCGGACTTGGGAGTGTCAGTGATTATTGCGTCCATCATTGTGTGTGTCCTGTGGTGGTGGTACGGTTTCCAGATGAGAAGGAGAGCGGTACTCTCGGCGGCGCTGTGGTGGCGCTGAAGGAAGAGGACGAGGCCGGGATGAAGTCTGCATCTGCGGAACCGGTGGAATCTTAAGGTTAGAAATCTCTGTTTTTCGAGATTGCTTCTCGTATTGTAATGGGTTTCCTTGGTTTGTTTTTTTGAAGCCAGAAGCGATTCTAAGTCTAGTTGTCGTCTAGTTTTCCATTGGAACAAAGTTGAAGATACGGTCTATCAGAATGTTAAGTATTTCCCCACTTTCATGTTTGTTTAGTAGAGCATGGCTATGGTGAACTTGTTTCCGTTCTTGCTTTCAATAACTTAATGTAATTATGTTATATGTAATTGAAGACATAGCATCTTGTGTGTTGATTTTGCATTTTCATCTGGATTGGGGAAACTTGGAATGAATGTCTCTCATCAAAATTGCGATGATAATCTTTAAGTTTTGTATAGAGGAAAGTATGATAATCTGATAATGTTGTCTAGGATAATGGGTGAAATTTGTTTCTGGGTTAAGTTATATGGATGATTAGACTCTGAAAATGACGGTTCTTGTTGTATTGAATGGTCTTGTTGTGAGGTCCCACATTGGTTGGACAAGGAACGAAGCACTCCTTATAAGGGTGCGTGGAAACCTCTCCTTAGTAGACCGTTTTAAAATCGTGAGGCTGACGGCGATAGTAACGAGCTGAAGAGGATAATAGCTGCTAGCGGTGGGCTTGGGCTTTGGCTGTTACAAATGGTATTAGAGCCAGACACCGGGCGGTGTGCCAGTGAGGACGCTAGGCCCCTAGGAGGTGTAGATTGTGAGATCCCACATCGATTGGAGAAGGGAACCAAACACTCCATTGAGGGTGTGGAAACCTCTCCCTAACCAACGCGTTTTAAAATTTTTGAAGGGAAGCCCGAGAGGGAAATCTCAAGGAGCTAACGGTGGGCTTGAGTTGTTATCCTCGTATTCCTTCCTTACTAGGGAAATGACTTGGGTGTAGTCCTTAGCAAACCTTATTAGAATTATGAATCCAACTACTAATCTCATTGAGAACTTGGTGGATTTGTTGATTGGACTGTTGTGAATTTAGTCTTTAAAATGGTCACTTTTAGGGCTGGTGGAGAGTTGTAAGAACGATGAGTGGTTTAGTAAAGAGTTTTGAAAGGTAAAAAGTCCCTTTGAAAACACTACTCTCAAAGCTCATCTTAAGCTCACTCTAAGCTTAAGCGGTTCGGTTTAACACCTTGGCGTCCTTAATCACGAGCCTACTCTTATGCAGTTCGATTGTCTACTAATCATCTGAGATTATAGATAAATCTTCATACAGAAATGCCTGCATTTTCTTCCTGAAGTAATTCTTCCTAAGTCGAGTTACTGCTTATTTCACAACAGAAAGTAATGAAGTTGTAAGAATGATGAGTGGTTTGGTCAAGTTCTTGCTGCATTTTTTACGAGTATCTACTCTTATAGTTACTGCTTTTAAGTCAAGTTGTGTTCTATGTAGGGTTTAGGGTTTATTTGATTCAGATTATGATATTTGTATTCGAATTCCAATCGAATACAAACAAGGGTTAGAATATATGTATTGTGTTTCAATGATTTTCACCAGATTGGATGCCTTGTGTCACGGTCATGCTTGTCCAAGGCATGTTGCCAAAACGCCTTACATCACTTTATTATCGCTTTCCTTGACTGCTTTCATGATGTATAGTTTCGTTATTGTGTTTTTTTTCCTACGTGTATGACCATTCGGCAAGATCATGTCTACTCTTGGTAGACATGAAATGCCCTAGAATGTACTATAATGGAATGCGACTAGTCGTTTTTAGTTTAGAAATGAACGGGGGAGAAATGGTTTGCGATTGATGTGCATTGTGACTTCATCCGCCCTAAGGGCCGTGACCATAACTTTAAGGCTTGGGAGCGTCTCTTGTCTTGGAAGGTGGATTTCTCTCCATGGCGTTGTTCTTACTGTACCCTATATTTATCATTTAGAATTCCTTGGTTTTGTCGGATCTTTCTTTATCATTATGAGAGATGTCTACGGAAGTGGGAAGCCTCCTCCGTCCCCATCTCCATCACCTGCTTCATTCTTCGTCTCCACAAAAATTTTCATTTATTCTTGCCGAGATAGATTGGGTTTCTCGTGTGTAATCTTTTTACGTTCTTTTTTTAAATTATAAATATATTTATTTTTAAAATTTTATTTTCCAATACAATCTTCATTAAAAATTTGTAAATAAAAATTATAATAAATTCATATTCATGATTGTTGTAAATTCAAATTTTAATATTAACATAAGTTTTAACCCTCATCAAGAATCTAATATGGTGTTTATGGTCCGAAAAAATAACTATTTTTTTTTTAATGTGTTGAAAATATATTTATATTAATGAATTTTTTTTACCACAACAATGGTGGTCCATTCGATCCAATCAACTTAGATCGTTTTACCTACGTTCTTAAAACATCTTTTAAACTTGTGTAGATTAAGAATGTGGTACATATTTTTTAACTTAATGTTTTTCAAATATGTCTCTGTTAAGATTAGAACAAGAAAAGCTTCTTACAATCATCAACATTGGCAGTCTAGAAAATTCGAAAAGAAAAGCCCAAAAAGGACAATCTGCTAACAATGAGTTTGGACCATTATAAAATGATATCGATATCAAGTCCAGTAAGGACAATCGGGTAACAAGGAGTGTGGACCATTGTAAAATGATATCGATATCAAGTCCAGTCACTAGACAGTGCCCGGCACAGGCACGAATAAGAGTAGAAGTAGACCTATGTAATCTAAAAATAAAACGAAAATGAAAGACCCAATTCATTGAAAGATGAAACCAAGTAAATTGAGTGGTTAAAAACAAACAAGACCAACAAAGAATAGCAAACATGCCGAAAATAATGGTGTGGAAATAATTTATTTGATATTTTATGTTATTAAAAAAATCAAAATTATCATATGATTTAATTAATTTATTTTTTTTAAAAAAATGAATTTATTAAAAGAAAACAAAGGGAATTTAAATATAGGTTCTTCTTCCTGAAGCACGGCCCGGAATTGTCTCGCTCTTAAAACATTCTCCCATCGTCCATTTCGTCTATATTTTATTTCCATTTCCGACCTGTTCTTCCGTGATTTCTTCTCTTCTCTTCTTCAATTTCTCTGAATTTACAGATTCTGAATTCTCCATGGATCTTCAGCACCAGCTTCGAAAACCAACCTTGGAGCCAGACCCGCACCTACCCAACATCAAAATCCACCATCCAGCTTCCCCTCGCCACACCTCCACCGCCACCCCCGTCGCCACCCCCACCCCCACTGCCGGCGCCCGCCGCAGGATTGGGGTGGCTGTCGACCTCTCCGAGGAGAGTGCTTTTGCTATTCATTGGGCTGTTCTACACTACATTCGTCCTGGTGATGCTGTCATTCTCCTCCATGTTAGCCCTACTTCCGTCCTCTTCGGTGCCGATTGGGGCTCCATCGACATTACTCTCGATACTGCTGATGATAATCCTGATGATCATAATTCTGGTAACTCTGTAAATGGTCAACATCTGAACCGTACCGAGCGTTCGAAACGTAAATTGGAGGATGATTTTGATGCTTTCACTGCCTCCAAAGCTGCTGATCTTGCTAAGCCGTTGAAAGATATTCAGATTCCGTATAAGATTCATATTGTGAAGGATCATGATATGAGAGAGAGGCTTTGTTTAGAAGTGGAGAGATTGGGGCTGAATGCGCTGATCATGAGCAGTCGGGGTTTTGGTGCTGCAAAGCGTGGAAATGACGGTGGGCTCGGAAGCGTTAGCGATTATTGCGTGCATCATTGTGTGTGTCCTGTTGTGGTGGTGCGTTTTCCGGATGAGAAGGATGTTGGGATCGGTTGTGATTCTGTTGCTGTGAAGAAGCAGGACAATGGCGCCCCCGAAAAGTCTGTTGCTGTGAAGAAGCAGGACAATGGCGCCCCCGAAAAGTCTGTTGCTGTGAAGAAGCAGGACAATGGAGCCCCCGAAAAGTCTGTTGCTGTGAAGAAGCAGGACAATGGCGCCCCCGAAAAGTCTGTTGCTGTGCAGAAGCAGGACGATGACGCCCGGGAAAAGCCTGTTGCTGAGGCCGTGGAGTCCAAAGGTTAGGCATCTCTGTTTTCCATGATTGGTTCTTGCATTATAACTAATGATTTTATTTCATCTCTGAAAATAGAATCGATTTTAAATTAGCCGTAGCTTAGTTTTCAATCTTCATAAAGTTGAATGCTAAGTGTATTGTAATGTTATAAGTTTCCTGTGTGTACTTCTGAATTTCATGCTCAATTATATCTTTTTAACTTTAATTTGACTTGCATTGTGCTGTGGGGTTTCTCCCAAAATATGGGAAATTAGGATTTGGTATTAGTGAACTTTGGAATATCTGAAAATTCTTGTTTTTGAGTAAAATTATGATGATATATGTAACCGCCCAAGCCTACCGCTAGCCGATATTGTCCTCTATGAGCTTTCCCTCTTGGGCTTCCCCTCAAGGTTTTTAAAACGCTAGGGAGAGGTTTCCACACCCTTATAAAGAATGCTTAATTCTCCTCTCCAATCGACGTGGGATCTCACAATCCACCCCCCCTTTGGGGTCCAGCGTCCTCGATGGCACTCGTTCCCTTCTCCAATCGATGTGGGACCCCCTTCGGGACCCAGTGTCCTTGTTGGCACACCACCTTGTGTCCACCCCCCTTCGGGGATCAGCCTCCTCGCTGGCACATCGCCCGATGTTTGGCTCTGATACCATTTGTAACGGCCAAGCCCACCGCTAGCAGATACTGTCTTCTTTAGGCTTTCCCTCGAGCTTCCCCTCAAGGTTTTGAAATCGCATATGTTAGGGAGAGGTTTCCACACCTTGTAAATAATGCTTCGTTCTCCTCCCCAACCGATGTGGGATCTCACATTATATTTTTTCAGTTCTTCTTTTAATGTTATATGGATGGTGAAATTCTGATATTGAAAGTTCATAGTTCTTGTTATCTTGAGTGATCTATCTTTTCGCAAAACTCTTTTCCCTGCCTCTTTGGATCCATGGCTGATTCCCCAAATGTACATGCTGCGAGTTTGGTCTGCAGATGACATTACTTGACGTTGAAGGTTTATTACTAATCATTTTCGAGGACTATGTGCACGGAGAATTGCAAGCCCAAGTGATCTGTCTAATGTCCCAGCATCTTTAACTAGTGATCCAACACTAGTATCGATAAGATTAGAGATACTCATACAGAAAATATACTTTAATTTACTGGCTTGATATCGATACTAGTTTTTCACCGTGGCCTATTTCTGGAAGTCAAAGACACATGTTGTCAGGTAACCTCATGAAAGCCAAAATTTCCAAGCAATGCATGGTTTAGGCTCGTGTAAAGATCCTGTGCCTAATGGTTTTACTGCAAAGTTCTTTCAAAGAGGTTGGAGAATTCTCATGTCAAATATATTGAGAGAGAGAGAGTTCGATTATCAGTTCTTGGGCCAAAGAGACTTACACATGCCTTATTCCATAGAGTAATGATGCTAAAAAGAGAACTTTATTCAAGACCATACGTCTCACCATCTGCCCTTTCAAGATCATTACTAAAGTCCTTACTAAACATCTAAGGTAGATTCTTCCAGATATGATAATTAAATTGCATTTAACTTTTATCGAGGGAAGGCAAATAATTGATTCTTGTGACGTTGCCGACAAATAGATTGTTGATTGGAAATGAGAAAAAAAGGAGTGCCCCTCCACACACGTTTATCTTCTCTTAGAAAGAATTAAGTTTTGGTCGTGGGAAACAACAAAAAATATCAAAATTTAGAAGGATCTTTGTACTGACCATGTCAAGAACATCCAAACTGTAAAAATTATCTTATCAGTTATGTGTGGAAATTTTCGTCTGACTTCTTGGGATTTAGTTTTCAAAAGGAACATCAATAATCATGGGACAACCAAATGGATATCACATATGGACCTCATTACTCATTAGTTGGTGCAACCTCCTTCCTCGCCAAGATAGATGGTTGTGGCTCAAAGACGACCGTATGTGCTTTCAAATGTAAGTGCCTTTTTGGAGTTGGAACGTTAATTATCCTTAGAGAGTAAAGATTTTCATGTCGGAGTTTTTGTTGAAGATTACCAACGCTCATGACAAAGTTCATAGGAAAATCCCCATTTGTTGTCTTTCTCCTAATTGGTGCTTAGTATATGAAGATGGTGAAGGATCTGAAGACCATCTCTCTTTGATTAGCTTATTGTTTTTCCAAGGAGCATGAACAGAATTCTTTAAGTTTCTCCAATGGCCTTCCTTTCAAAGTGAAACCTACGTCTCTTTGTAAGAATATTATTAGAGCTTTTCTTTGGACATTCCGGTTAGAAAGTTTTTTGTAGGGCTAATGGATCTTTTTTCTTTTGTTGAATCATATTCTTATAGTTGCCTGGTCTTGGTTCAACATATCTAAACCTTTTTTAACTATCATTTTCTTCTGTCTGCACTAGTTGGAAGGTTCTTGTTTGCGTTGTTTTGTTTTTTTTTTTTTTTTTTATAATTAATCTTCTTTTTTTGTAACTCCCATACCCCAGGCTGAGGCTTTCCTTCCACTTTTTGTATATTCCAATTTATCAATGAAATAGCCTCTTATTAGGGAAATAATTGCTTGTTTGTGGGAGAAATTCTTTCTGTAAACGTATGTGTGCTTTTTCACTCTTTGCATGGTATATTTTTGGTTTACAACCCATTTTTGCTAAAAAGCTTGGACACTAACACGGTGACACATCAATTTCTAAAAAAGTAGGTCATAGATACGTTGAAGACACGTTTTTTAAAAATAAAAAATATATGTATATGTTGATATATTAGCATTTCTCTAATGATAAAACATGCAAATTTAATAAAAATATAAAATATACTTCTCTACAAACCTACAAAGTTAAGCTAATTAACAATATTCGAAAAGATAAAGAAAAATTTAGTTAGCTAGAACCAGAGGAAAAAGATGTCATCCCAATACTTCAGGATTGGTTAATATATAAGATTCATGTCTATAAGAAAATTTCTAATTTTTTTTTCTCCAATTTTTAGGTTAAATGTTTTCTAGAGCCATGTCCATGGAGGAAAAAAGATTGAGACACATTCTTTTAGCGTGTCGGACATGTGTCTAGAGCGAGTCCATATGTATTTGTGTTCATGCTTCCTAGCATTTTGGTCCCTGAACTTTCAAAAGGTCAACTTTGGTCCTAAACTTTTATGTTTTTTTTTTTCTTTTTCATTTTGGTCCCTAAATTTTCATAATGTGTATTTTAATTCTTAAACTTCTAAATTTTTTTTTTTTTTGTTCCTTGTTATGTTGTTTTCCATCTAATTTCCATGTTCCCTCATCTCTAACTTATGTGGCTTGAAATCATGCTCATATTAACATGCTAGTACTCATATTCCAACCCTCACCATTAATTTGTTAAAAATAAAATAAAATGAAGGACCAAAATGATTGTTTTGGTCCTTAAATGAATATTTTTAATGTCTTGGCACTAAAAGTTAAAATGGAACAAATCTGAAAATTCAAGGATCTATTTTGAAAGTTTTTTAATGACCAAAATACAGCTCGAGAAAAGGAATAAGTTGAAAGATTATGAAAGGAGCATCTGAAAAACAGCTCGACAAAAGGAACTGCCGAAGTATTTACATGATATTTAGGGAAGTCGAAACTTGAAAATGTTCCTATACAGAAAATAACAGAACTCAGCCACCTAAACATTTTTTAGGTGAAACATTCTTGTTGTTTTTTATACTATATTTTGATAAGTAGTGAAACCATTTTTTTATTTGATTCAAGAAATATAACCATATTTGAGAATTAGTAGGAGCTCTTTGTTATGATGCATAACCAAGTATTGTTCTGGAGACTGCCTGTATTCCTTGTTGTGGCTCAAATGCTAGTTATTCATTAAAGGACCTGTTATTATCAATGGATATATGAATGCCCTTTGCTTGTCTAAGTTGAAAATTTGCCACTCCCTTGCAATATCTACTGAATTGAAATTTTTTAGTAGAACTACGGGAGTAATCTTTATATTGTTATTTCTTCTAATCCTTGTGTTCACAATGCACCACACAAGAGTTTATTATTTCGATGTTTCAGTGTTTGAATTTACTTTTAGAAGGAAAATTATATTATGTGAACTATGGATAAATTGTTAGAAATTCCAATTCCGTTTTGACAATTCAACACATAAGCTTAATGTTTTTTTTAATATACATATATATATATTGAAAAATGTTGTATTTAGATAAGTATATTTTGTTTAAGATAAACCTTAAATGACTTGAAATTGCTTTGAAATAATGTTTTTTTAATAATTTTTAATTTATCAAAGATAAGTGTCTAAAAAAAATTTCGTTTAGTCATCTGAGCGAAAATATATGAAAAAATATATAATAATAATAACAATAAATTTTCATTTGGCGTGATCTTCATTTGGAATTAAGTTGTATAATATAGCAGTTAAATATATATGCATATAGGTTAAACTACCATTTTGGTTCTTGTCCTTTCAAATGTCTAATGTTAGTCTTTGTACCTTCAATAATAAATGTTCATACAAGAAAAGACACTGAATTTATTTTTATAATTTATAAAGGGAATGCTAATAGAAACTAAATGTTTAGGAAAAAAAATCAACAATAAACTAACTATGTGGACTAATTTTAAGATTTATTGAAGGTACCTTCAGTTTTTAATCTGGCTAAAGGATGTAAACCTCGTTTGCAATGTGCTGCCATTAACATCTTCAAATCTAGGAGGGGGTTCTTTGGCCAATCATGATAGGGTTCATATCGGAGGTTGAATCTATCCGTGGTTTAAATGTATATTAGGAGAGCTGCTGTGTGACTGATATCAACTGAGATCTGCTTTGGTAGGTTAGGTAGGTACAACTTTGTGGGGTGCAAGGTTTTTCTGTTGCTCGTAATATACTTGGGCTTTCTTTATGACCATATTCTTAAACCCTCTTTTTGGGGCTCAATTGTGGAGGAAGGTTATAAAGAGTCTCTCGTATTTGAAAAAGGCATGGTTCCCTAGGGGGTTTAGGCTTACCCATTTTTAGACTAATCTGGAAATCCACTCTCCTTTTTGCCTTTAGAATGTCCTCTTCATTTCTTTGAATCTTTGTTCGGTTCTAAATATTGAGGAGCCTTTTATCTTTAACGGAGAAACAGTTTATAAAAGAAGTGATGATTGATGAGGGGAAATTAACTTAAAGAAAACCTCTATATGGTAGTCGATTATGCTGATTCAAAGAATTGGTGCCTTGATCCTTCAGGTACTTTCACGGTTAAATCTCTCTTTAAACATTTGCCAGCATCATTTCCAATCCATTAAGAGACTTTCTCGACTTTATGGAGGTCTAAATGTCTTAAAATTAATATCATTATCTGGATTTGGATTTTGATTAAGAGCAGCTTGAATTTCTCAAATGTTTTACAATAGAAGATTCCATCATCCTCACTTATGACATAAGTTGACTACTGTGCTGCTTGGATTCAAAAAGCTGGAAGCATCTATTAATTGATTGCTCTTTTGCGTTATCATGTTGGCAACAGCTTTTTGGGTTCTTCAGTACTCGTAGTTCTTCAATAACTGTAAGTGCAATGCACTTTATTTGCTCACTGGTTCTTGTTTTCCTTCAAGGCCTCTATTATTATGGGAAAAGTAAATGCAACTAAAGTTATTATTTCAGAACTTTGGCAGGAACACAATCAAGAATTCTTTTTAAGCCAGCAAAGTTGCTGGTCGCTCTGTTTTGAGTCGGCTAAACTGAAGTCCAAGCTTTTCCATGGGTTCGCCCTACAAGATATTTGTCTTAAAAGAATTGCCTTCTTGATTTAGTGGTTATGGTGCCTTCCCTCTTGGTTTAGTGGTTTGTCCTACGTATATGTGTCATTTTTAAAGTAAAAAGAATGAAACATTACACTTCAGTTTGATTGTTATTGCGTTTAAGTGTTGCTATCTTAGATGTGCAGTCAACTTTTGGCACGATACCCAAAGTAACATATATATTTTGTTTGTGTTTTGCAGTTTACAAGATTATAAATTAGATTAACAAATCTTAGCCCTGCCGTGTTCCATTCAAGTTTGTAGAATGTATTTCACCACTATCGTTTCTTGAGTGATATGTATATGTTTAACATGTTGCTTTTCAATGTGCTTGTGCTTCCCCTAGAGCTTAAATGGGTATGTGTTCGGGAGTTATGATACTTTTTAAACTGTGGGATCCCACATCGGTTGGGGAGGAAAATGAAATATTTTTTATAAAGGTGTGGAAACCTCTCCCTAGTATACGTGTTTTAAAAATCTCGAGGGAAAGCCCAAAAGGGAAAGACTAAAGAGGACAATATCTGCTAGCGGTGAGCTAGGGTCATTACATTAATGGCAGCTTAAATGGGTATGTGTTTTCGGGAGTTATGATACTTTTGAATTGTGAGATCCCACATCAGTTAGGGAGGAGAACGAAGCATTCTTTATAAGGGTGTGGAAACCTCTCCTTAGCCGACACGTTTTAAAAATCTTGAGGGGAAGCTCAAAAATGAAAGTTCAAGGAGGACAATATCTGCTAGCAGTGGGCTAGGATCGTTACATAAATGGCATCAATAAATGACTGTGACTAGGTGCTGCCTCTCTTTCCACGGGTGTTTAGATGGTAATATCCAAATCAAAGACGGGTTTTCCCTTGAGGATATGTACCCAATTCCTCTGTCTGGATCTCTATACAACTAACTCCCTGGCTTATTTTGTTTTTCATGAGTTTCATATCATCTGTATATTGGTGTTTAATCTTCGTTTGTATTCCTTCTTGTAGTTTGTCATGAAAAGCTTGCATCATCCTGATTAGCTGAGGTGCAAACTGGATTGTTGTCGATTTTGAATCTGAATTGCAGAGCCCCTGTTTTCCCCCACACAAGGAAACCGTGAATAAGAAAATAATGTCTGCATGATTTGAAATTGATGTATGGCCTTTCATATTGTTTAATTCGTTTGATATCAATAATATATTTCCCTCTTCTGCCACGATTATTATCTATCTGGTTGCTAATTACCAAAACCCTCGAACAAATTTGTTGTGTTCGCTTGAATGTCTCATCAATGGTTTAATTGTAAAAATCTCCATAGTTCTTTATGACCCTTCTTAATATTACTCAGCAAAAGCCCCCGGGTGATAGTTAATCGGCCCAAGGGCTCGAGAAAATTATCAATACTATTGTAGTACATACTATAAGGCTAAGCTCGCTGTTAGCAGATATTGTCCTTTTTAGCTTTCCTTTTTAGAATTTCCCTCAAGGCTTTAAAATCTGTCTTCTATGAAGATGTTTCCCCACCCTTATAAGGAATGTTTCGTTCTCTCCTCCAACCGATGTGGGATCTCACACATACAGAGCGTAGGTATCTATGTGTAATAGGTTATAGTTAAGCATTATGGGTTAGGAACTTTGGAGAAGTGAAATTTGATTCTGGATTTGCCATCACTCTTATCTCTGGAAGGCTGCAGGAATTGGGTTGTCTGGTGCACAGCAATGGAAGGACAAGCTTGGAAGCATTAGGAATTGTGTGCTTTATTCTCACCTCTTAACTTTTTTTTTTTTTTTTTTTTTTTTTTTTT